AACGACATGGAACGAAATGAAGCCACTTGTTATGGGTTAGAAAATATTATAATTTAGAGGACTAGCATAAAAAAAGGGGCATCCAATGCAGTGGACCAATCAATGTGATGCGTTGGGCAGTCGGGGCAGTATGCGCACCTATAATGGGCGTACCAGGCAGAGTTCGGGAGCTCAAATCTTCCAAACGGCATGGAACGAAATGGAGCCACTTGTCGTGGGTGTGGAAAATAGTATAATCTAGAGGACTAGCAAAAAAGAGGGGCATCCAACGTAGTGGACCAATCAATGTGATGCGTTGGGCAGTCGGGGCAGTATGCGGGCGTACTAGGCAGAGTTCGGGCGCCCAAATCTTGCAAACGACATGGAACGAAATGGAGCCACTTGTTGTGGGTGTGGAAAATAGTATAATCTAGATATCTAGCATAAAAAAGGGGCATCCAATGCAGTGAACCAATCAAAGTGATGCGTTGGGCAGTCGGGGCAGTATGCGCACCTATAATGGGCGTACCAGGCAGAGTTTGGGCGCTCAAATCTTCCAAACGACATGGAACGAAATGGAGCCACTTGTTGTGGGTGTGGAAAATAGTCCTATCTAGAGGACTAGCATAAAAAAGGGGCATCCAATGCAGTGGACCAATCAAAGTGATGCGTTGGGCAGTCGGGGCAGTATGCGCACCTATAATGGTCGTACCAGGCAGAGTTCGGGCGCTCAAATCTTCCAAACGACATGGAACGAAATGGAGCCACTTGTTGTGGGTGTGGAAAATAGTATAATCTAGAGGACTAGCATAAAAAAAGGGACATCCAATGCAGTGGACCAATCAAAGTGATGCGTTGGGCAGTCGGGGCAGTATGCGCACCTATAATGGGCGTACCAGGCAGAGTTCGTGCGCTCAAATCTTCCAAACGACATGGAACGAAATGGAGCCACTTGTTGTGGGTGTGGAAAATAGTCTAATCTACAGGAATAGCAAAAAAAAAGGGGCATCCAATGCAGTGGATCAATCAAAGTGATGCGTTGGGCAGTCGGGGCAGTATGCGCACCTATAATGGGCGTACCAGGCAGAGTTCGGGCGCTCAAATCTTCCAAACGACATGGAACGAAATGGAGCCATTTGTTGTGGGTGTGGAAAATAGTCTAATCTAGAGGACTAGCATAAAATAAGGGGCATCCAATGCAGTGGACCAATCAAAGTGAAGCGTGGGGCAGTCGGGGCAGTATGCGAACCTATTTTGGGCGTACCAGGCAGAGTTCGGGCGCTCAAATCTTCCAAACGGCATAAAACGAAATGGAGCCACTTGTTGTGGGTGTGGAAAATAGTCTAATCTAGAGGACTAGCATAAAAAAAGGGGCATCCAATGCAGTGGACCAATCAAAGTGATGCGTTGGGCAGTCGGGGCAGTACGCGCACCTATAATGGGCGTACCAGGCAGAGTTCGGGCGCTCAAATATTCCAAACGGCATAAAACGAAATGGAGCCACTTGTTGTGGGTGTGGAAAATAGTCTAATATAGAGGAATAGCATAAAAAAGGGGCATCTAATGCAGTGGACCAATCAAAGTGATGCGTTGGGCAGTCGGGGCAGTAGGCACACTTATAATGGTCGTTCCAGGCAGAGTTCGGGCGCTCAAATCTTCCAAACGACATAGAACGAAATGGAGCCACTTGTTTGTGAGAATGAGAACGAGAATGGATGAACTATGAAATGAAGTGAGTACAAATATGAAACCCTAATTGGTTGTACCCCCTATGGGATACCCCACTATAGCCTACATAACAGCATAAGCTACAATGTTCTGACACACCCCCATAGGCAAAGTGGGGGAGAACAAGGGGTCACAAGACCAGTCAAGCAAAGCAAAGCAAAGGAAAGCTCAGGGTGGATCACAAAGTCACCACACAGTCCGAGCACAGGGTCAAGGCCACACGGCCAGTTCACATGCAAGAGTACACACATATATATAAAGCTAGACAAGCAAGAGCAGGTATATATATATGTGAGAGTACAAGCAAGGTCAAGAGGAGAGCAAGTGAGGTAAGACGGGCACAAGACCCAGCTGAGTGCAGAAGCGCTGATGATCACAAGGCGGAAGTGCCTTGGTGAAGACATCAGCAGTGTTGGCCTCAGAGGCCACGTACGCAAGCCGCAACTGTCCACGTTGCTGTAGCTCACGAGCAAGGAAGTAGCGGAGAGCAATGTGCTTTGTTCTGTGCTCCAGTCGCTGCTCTCGACACAAGGCCAGCATGGCCTTGTTGTCTACGTACAGGACTGGAGGAGAACGAGGCGGCTCTCCAAGGTCGGTCAGCAGGTAGGTGAGCCAGCGAAGCTCCTGTGCAGCCATGGCCCTGGCGTAGATCTCAGCCTCACAACTCGAGCCAAGAACAGAAGACGAGCGAGTAGCCCGCCACGAAACAGAGCCGGAACCAAGGCTGAAGGTGTAACCCTGTGACGACCGCTGCGTAGCCTGGTCGTCAGCCCAAGAAGCGTCCGCGTGCCCAGTGAGGACCACTGGACTCCGCCCTCCAAGCACTAGCCCCATGCCCGACGTACTGCACAAGTAGCGCAACACCCTCTTCGCTGCAGCCATGTGCTCTGGTCTGTGTCTCCCAGGAGCAACATAGCGTGCAAGAATGCTAAGAGGGTATGCAAGGTCAGGTCGTGTGCAGGTCATCAGGTACATGAGGCAGCCAACAAGCTCTGGGTACGGGCCACTCGACTCTACGGACTCATCCGAAGGCAGAGCTGAGAGCGAGTGGCGAGTAGACAGAGGAGTGGCCTGAGGCGAGGAGTACGTGAAGCCGAAGCGCTGAAGGACCTGCTGCACCATGTGTGACTGAGTCAGGGTAATGGTGCGGCGTGCTCTGTCCCGGGTGATCTGCAAGCCAAGGTAGCTGCGCAGTTCACCCAGGTCTGTGCACGTGTGTCTCTTCTGCAGCTCGGACTTCACGTAGGCGAGTCCAGCAGTGTCAGCTGTGGCAAAGACCAAGTCGTCGACGTACACGAGGATGTAGAACGGCGGCAGAGAGGTGTCGGTGCGTAGAAACAGCGACGGGTCGGCAGTAGAAGGAGCAAACCCAAGAGCCGCAAGCGTAGTCCTCAGTGTGTCGTGCCACTCACGTGGCGCCTGGCGGAGACCGTAGACTGGACGCCGGAGACTCCACTGGGTACCAGGAGGGAAAGACCCAGTGAAGCCAGGTGGGCGACGCAGCCAGATCTCCTCGTGCAGGCTGCCCTGCAAGAAAGCTGTGCTGAAGTCAAGAGAGTGCAGCTCGTAGTCACGGTGAGCAGCAACGTGCAGCAGTACCCGAAGAGTGGTCATCTTCGGGGTGGGGGAGAAGGTCTGAAAGTAGTCAACTCCCTGCCGCTGACTGAAGCCACGAGCCACGTAACGCGCCTTGAAGACAGGCGGAGAACCCGGCGGCCGCTTCACCCTGAAGATCCACATGCCACTGACGATGTTCGCCCCAGGAGGGGGGACAGCGTCAACGTAGGTGCCTGTGGACTTCCAGGAAGCCATCTCTGCATCCATAGCTTCCTGCCACTGAGAGGAGTAGGGACCCTCTATCGCCTCCGCGTAAGAGCGCGGAGTCGGGATGTCAAGTGCATCCGGGTCTCCCTCAGGGGTAAGCAGTACGGACACGAGATGAGGTGAGGCAGCTGCCAGACACTGGAACTCCTCCTGCCTGTCCTCAAGGACGTCCGTGCCAAGGGCACACTCACCCCCGACGGACGGAGGACAGACAGACTCAGACTCAGCGACAAGACTAGCAGCGTAGTCTAAGCGACAGCGAGCAGCAAAGTCGACGAGCTCAGTAACGAGAGCAGACGCAGCAGTAGACTCGAAAGAAGGGTCAGTGACAACAGTAGCAAGGAGACGCGTGACAGTAGGACTGGCAGCACGAAGAGAGTCCGACTCCGGGTCGGCAAGAGCAGGAAGAGAGGACTCAGGAGGAGAAGGCAAAGGGGCACGCAGAGGAGCCGTGGACGGACGCAGAGACATCCGGTGCGTGCCAGGGACAGGAGGAGGACGCTGACGCGAACCGTGACCACTAGTGCGAGCAGCACGGACAGGCGACGCAGGGCAAGACGCAGGCTCACGACGCTCAGCCAGACCTCCAGTAGGACCAGTGTAGGGAGAAGGAGCAGGCAAAGGGGAGGTAGGCTGCAACTGTAGCTGGGACGAGACAGGCTGTGGACACTCTAAGGGAGGAGGAGGACCAGTAGAAGGTGGAAGACCAAGAACCTGCTGCAGGAGTGGAACGAAGTACGGTCGAGGCCGCGCGGCGACGCTAGAAGCAGCAGGGACAGCACCAGAACCCTCAGCAAGAGCACCCGCTCCAGCAGCACCACCAGTAGCTCCAGAACCTCCAGCAGCACCAGGAGCACCCCCAGTAGGACTGCCAGCGGTAGTCTCAGCGCCAACACCCTCAGCAGCACCAGCTCCAGTGCACCCAGGACGAGCACCTCCGGGACCCGCGACCGCAGCACCCTCAGCAGCCGAAGGACCTCCAGCACCAGCAGCACGCCTCCAGCGCCGGGCAAACCACTCACGCAGCTCCTGTGGCGAAAGTGGCTCCCGGCGAGACGAAGCACTCGGAGAACCTCCAGGCGGAGCACCTCCAGGCTCAGCACCCCCAGGCGTAGCACCCCTAGGCTCAGCACCCCCAGACGTAGCACCCCTAGGCTCAGCACCCCCAGGCTCAGCACCCCTAGGCTCAGCACCCCCAGGCTCAGCACCCCCAGGCTCAGCACCCCCAGGCTCAGCACCCCTAGGCTCAGCACCCCCAGGCTCAGCACCCCTAGGCTCAGCACCCCTAGGCTGAGCACCCCCAGACGTAGCACCCCCAGGCCCAGCACCCCTAGGCTCCGCACCCCCAGGTACAGCACCCCCAGCCTCAGCACCCTCAGCAGCACCAGAGTCACCAGTGACCTCGACAGGCTCGACTGCGTCTACCTGGGACACACCTGAAGGGGCAGGACCCTGAGGGGGGAGGGGGTTTACCTGGGGGGGACCTGGTACCAGGAAGAGTGGGGATGGGGGGAGGGACGGAGAGCGGTAGGGGAAGAGGCGGTAGTAGGGGACCGACTCGTCAAACGTGACGTCCTGGGAGGACAGAACACGGCGAGAGGTGGGGTGGTAGCCGGTCCACAGCAAGGCTGGGGAGGTCTCCGGCCTGGAGACCCTGGGGTGGAGGTTGATCTGATGCGCCGCGTACCTCACCGCAAACGGCCACAGAAAATGGGGGGCAGCCGCATGCATCATAGACGTGCGAGCGACGTCCGTGACCATGCCAATGCGGCGCTCAGCAATCCCATTTTGCTGCGGTGAGTCCGGAAGCGTGAAGGTCTGACGGATGCCCCGTGCACGACAGTAGGCACGCAGAAGGCCAGAGGAGAACTCTCCGCCTCTGTCCGAGTGCAGACGCAGAACAGGAAAGTCCGAGCCGAAGCTCTGCCTGAGCTGGAGACGAGCTGCGCGGATCCAGTCGATCAGCATCTCAGTGACATCACCCTTGCTGCGCAAGGGGAAGACTGTGGTGTAACGCGAGTAGTCGTCAACAACGAGCAGGAAGTAGCGCTCGTGACCCTGTCCACGGACGCGGGCTGGGCCCCACACGTCCATGTGAAGTGTCTGCAACGGGGCCTCTGTCGAAGGAAACTGGGAGGAGTGAGGGGCAGCACGCTGGCGCCCCTCGACACAGGGGACACAGGCAGGGCCAGGGCCCTGAGGAAGGGGAGGGAGGGACCGGGGGAGACCGGACACAAGAAGACGGGAGGCCATACCTCTGAGCCGAAGGAGAGAGGGGTGGCCAAGGCGGTGGTGCCAGAGGAGAGTCTCGTGAGACAGGAGACGACACGAACAGGGGGCAGACTCAGGACCAGACCTGGACGCCGCAGCAAACACCTGACCCGACGTAACTACCCTACCAGACTCAGCAACTGGAGGAGACGCAGTGGTCAGAGTGTACAGGCTCGACCCCGGCTGACGGGTGAACGTAGCCAGGTGTCGGCCTGTGCCAGCCTCTGTACAGTGGGTCACTCGCTGACGTGCAGGAGTGAACTGGTGGACACCCGCATCCTGTAGGTCAGCACCACTCACCAGGTTCGTCGAGAACGAGGGGAGGTAGAGACCAGATAGGGTGCCAGAGGGAGCCGCCGGACACGGGAGGACTGTGGAGAAACGAGACAGGACCGGACCCCCAGAGGGGTCAGCCAGAGACACCGCAACCGGCCGACTAAGCGGCGTGAGTGTGGTGCGGTCCCGAAAGAAGGAGCGAGACGCCCCAGAGTCAAGAGTGAAGGTGAGAGAGGCCGAAGCCGATGCGGTACCTGAGAGAGCAGACTCACCAGTACCTGAGGACGCAGACACACCAGCACCTGGAGCAGCAGCGTCGTAAGCACCTAGGGCAGCAGCCTCACCAGTACCTAGAGCAACAGTCTCAATGCCCGGATCGGGCTGGAAACACCGGTAACAGTCACCCTCATCACTAATAGACACAGCATACATGGCAGAGAGAATAGCATCAAAGTCCAGATCAAAGATGGCAACCCCCGCCCTAGACAGCTCGTCCCAGCGAGGGATCTCGGAGGCCTCCGGGAACTGGTGACGCCATGCGTCCGTCAGGCGGCCAAAGCAGCGCGGAGTGGGGTGCGCACCCCCACACTGCTCACCCGCACGGTCGCCGGTGCGCAGGACGTAGGTACACGGACCAAAACCCCCACCCCGCTGGCGTGCAGTGTACCACTCACGGAGCTGCTGAGGGGACAGGGTCGCACGACCACGCTGCTGCTGCTGGCGCGAGCCACCACCGGAGCCACTCCTCTGCAAAGACCCGCGACCAGCTCCACCGCCACCCCCACCGCCTCCACCGCCTCCGCTGCCTCCACTGCCGCCGCCGCCTCCACCGCCTCCTCCACCGCCGCCTCCTCCGCCACCTCCGCTACCACCGCCACCGCCGCCGCGGCCTCCGCCTCCACTGCCGCCACCGAACCCCCCACCCCCACCTCCACCTCCACCGCTACCCCCACTCCCCCCACTGCCTCCACCTCCACCTCCACCGCCCGCTCCTCCAGCTCCCTTGCCCCCCTTGCCCTTGCCAGGGCGGCGTCTCCCGCTAGGGGCAGACGCCGCACCGACCGACTCAAGACCAAGAAGGTCGGCCGAAGCAGCAGAGGCAACAGAGGGCAGCAAGGGGGAGGGAGAACACCCCTCAAAGATGGGGGTGCGCGGGTCACCTCGAGAGGCTCCTACAGCGACTATGCTCTTTTCTATCGCGAGGAGGGCCTTCTCGAGGAGGTCTACAGTGAGTGTGGTGGGACAGACTGAGAGAAAGTGGTCCCTGACTACTCGAAGGGAGTCAGGGAGGCGAGTGACTAGGAAGTACAGAGTGATGTACATGGGGGGGGGGTTCGCGGTGCAGAAGTCAGCAGGAAGTGCAGCGCGGTAGCGAGTGTCACTAGTGCGGAGGTGCGTAATGAGGTCAGCAACGGTGGGAAAAGAAGCAAGGTCAGGGAAGAGGTACGGCAGCATGAGACGGCTCAGTGCAGCAGTGGAAGGGGAGGAGTAGCGCGCGACTACAGCGGCGTACAAGGTCTGAGCACTCTTGTACTGACTAAAGTGCGCACGCTCGGAGGTAGGGAGGTGGCGACGCACAGCAAGACGTGCAGCAGCATCGCGCGTGGCCCACTGGGAGCGAACAGTGGCGTCAGCATCAGCAGCAGGGGCAGGGGAAGCGCCAGAGGTGAGGTCAAAGAGAGAGAGGCCGTCCGCCCTATCGCACTGTAAGAACAGCTGTAGGTCATCTACCCAGACCTCAAAGTCAATGGCCCGACCCTCAGCGTCAAAAGTGAGGACACTAGGGGTAGCCATGACAGCAGTAGACCAGCAGTGCAAGGAGTAGGGGAAGAGCACGCAGTGACAGAGGGTCTGTGCTCACCGGACAGGGCTGCTCGGGCGGCTCGGCTGCAGGGCGGCTCGGCCGCTGGGCGGCTCGGCGGCTGGGCGGCTCGGCGGCTGGGCGGCTCGGCAGCTGGGCGGGCGGCTGCACGGCGGCTCGACTGGTGGGCGGCCGGGCGGCTCGGCTGCAGCGCGGCTGGGCGGCGGGGCGGCTCGGCTGCTCTGCTGCTGGGCGGCTCGGCTGCGCTGCTGTTGGGCGGCTCGGCTGGGCCGCTGACGTAGGGCGGCGGGGCCGCTGAAGAAGGACGGCGGGGCCGCTGGGTAGTGAGGCGGCGGGGCCGCTGGTTAGTGAGGCGGCGGGGCCGCGAAGACGGGCGGCGGGGCCGCTGCAGAGAAGCGGCGGGGCCGCAGTGAAGGGCGGCGGGGCCGCAACGAGAGAGGCGGCGGGGCCGCAGCGAGAGAAGCGGCGGGGCCGCGAAGTCGGGCGGCGGGGCCGCTGAGTAGGGCGGCGGGGCCGCAGTGAGAGGCGGCGGGGCCGCAGCGAGAGAGGCGGCGGGGCCGCGAAGACGGGCGGCGGGGCCGCTGAGACGGGTGGCGGGGCCGCAGTGAGTGGCGGCGGGGCCGCAGCGAGAGATGGCGGCGGGGCCGCGAAGACGGGCGGCGGGGCCGCAACGAGAGAGGCAGCGGGGCCGCAGAAAGGGGGCGGCGACGGGCCGTAGGCGGCGCGAAGCCGCAGGTAAGGGCGGCGACGGGCCGGGGCGGCTCGAAGCCGCAGGTAGAGGCGGCGCGAAGCCGCGGGAAGGGCGGCGACGGGCCTGGGCGACGCGAAGCCGCAGGTAGGGGCGGCGCGAAGCCGCCGGTGAGGGCGGCGCAAAGCCGCGGGTAAGGGCGGCGACGGGCCGGGAAAAGGGCGGCGCGCCGCAGCCGCTAGGGCGGCTCGACGCGACCGTAAGGGCGGCGCGACGGGCCGCTAGGTGCGACTCGACGGGCCGCTAAAAAAAAAGGCAGGCGCGACTCGAGGCGCGCTTCGGTGGGCCCAAGGAACAGTCCCTAGGAGGGGACCTGCTCTGATTCCATGTGAGAATGAGAACGAGAATGGATGAACTATGAAATGAAGTGAGTACAAATATGAAACCCTAATTGGTTGTACCCCCTATGGGATACCCCACTATAGCCTACATAACAGCATAAGCTACAATGTTCTGACATTGTTGTGGGTGTGGAAAATAGTATAATCTAGAGGACTAGCATAAAAAAAGGGACATCCAATGCAGTGGACCAATCAAAGTGATGCGTTGGGCAGTCGGGGCAGTATGCGCACCTATAATGGGCGTACCAGGCAGAGTTCGGGCGCTCAAATCTTCCAAACGACATGGAACGAAATGGAGCCATTTGTTGTGGGTGTGGAAAATAGTCTAATCTAGAGGACTAGCAAAAAAAAAGGGGCATCCAATGCAGTGGACCAATCAAAGTGATGCGTGGGGCAGTCGGGGTAGTATGCGCACCTATAATGGTCGTACCAGGCAGAGTTCGGGCACTCAAATCTTCCAAACGACATGGAACGAAATGAAGTTACTTGTTGTGGGTGTGGAAAATAGTATAATCTAGAGGACTAGCATAAAATAAGGGACATCCAATGCAGTGGACCAATCAAAGTGATCCGTTGGGCAGTCGGGGCAGTATGCGCACCTATAATGGGCGTACCAGGCAGAGTTCGGGCGCTCAAATCTTCCAAACGACATGGAACGAAATGGAGCCATTTGTTGTGGGTGTGGAAAATAATATAATCTAGAGGACTAGCTTAAAAAGGGGCATCCAATGCAGTGGACCAATCAAAGTGATGCGTGGGGCAGTTGGGGCAGTATGCGAACCTATTTTGGGCGTACCAGGCAGAGTTCGGGCGCTCAAATCTTCCAAACGACTTGGAACGAAATGGAGCCACTTGTCGTGGGTGTGGAAAATAGTCTAATCTAGAGATCTAGCATAAAAAAGGGGCATCCAATGCAGTGGACCAATCAAAGTGATGCGTTGGGCAGTCGGGGCAGTATGCGCACCTATAATGGGCGTACCAGCAGAGTTCGGGCGCTCAAATCTTTCAAACAACATGGAACGAAATGGAGCCACTTGTTGTGGGTGTGGAAAATAGTCTAATCCAGAGGAATAGCATAAAAAAAGGGGCATCCAATGCAGTGGACCAATCAATGTGATGCGTTGGGCAGTCGGGACAGTATGCGGGCGTACCAGGCAGAGTTCGGGCGCTCAAATCTTGCAAACGACATGGAACAAAATGGAGCCACTTGTTGTGGGTGTGGAAATAGTCTAATCTAGAGATCTAGCATAAAAAAGGGGCATCCAATGCAGTGGACCAATCAAAGTGATGCGTTGGGCAGTCAGGGCAGTATGCGCACCTATAATGGGCGTACCAGCAGAGTTCGGGCGCTCAAATATTTCAAACAACATGGAACGAAATGGAGCCACTTGTTGTGGGTGTGGAAAATAGTCTAATCTAGAGGAATAGCATAAAAAAAGGGGCATCCAATGCAGTGGACCAATCAAAGTGATGCGTTGGGCAGTCGTGGCAGTATGCGCACCTATAATGGGCGTACCAGGCAGAGTTCGGGTGCTCAAATCTTGCAAATGACATGGAACGAAATGGAGCCACTTGTTGTGGGTGTGGAAAATAGTCTAATCTAGAGGACTAGCAAAAAAAAAGGGGCCCCATTCTCCCGCTTTCCATCACCCCGCCCCATTCTCCCTCTTTCCATCACCCTGCCCCATTCTCCCTCTTTCCATCACCCCGCCCCATTCTCCCTCTTTCCATCACCCCGCCCCATTCTCCTGCTTTCCATCACCCCGCCCCATTCTCCCGCTTTCCATCACCCCGCCCCATTCTCCCGCTTTCCATCACCCCGCCCCATTCTCCCTCTTTCCATCACCCCGCCCCATTCTCCCTCTTTCCATCACCCGGCCCCATTCTCCTGCTTTCCATCACCCCGCCCCATTCTTCCTCTTTCCATCACCCCGCCCCATTCTCCCTCTTTCCATCTCCCGCCCCATTCTCCCTCTTTCCATCACCCCGCCCCATTCTCCCGCTTTCCAGCACCCCGCCCCATTCTCCCTCTTTCCATCTCCCGCCCCATTCTCCCTCTTTTCATCACCCCGCCCCAGTCTCCCGCTTTCCATCACCCCGCCCCATTCTCCCGCTCTCCATCACCCCGCCCCATTCTCCCGCTTTCCATCACCCTGCCCCATTCTCCCGCTTTCCATCACCCCGCCCCATTCTCCCTCTTTCCATCACCCTGCCCCATTCTCCCGCTTTCCATCACCCCGCCCAATTCTCCCGCTTTCCATCACCCCGCCCCATTCTCCCTCTTTCCATCACCCCGCCACATTCTCCCGCTTTCCATCACCCGCCCCATTCTCCCGCTTTCCATCACCCCGCCCCATTCTCTCGCTTTCCATCACCCGCCCCATTCTCCCGCTTTCCATCACCCCGCCCCATTCTCCCACTTTCCATCACCCCGCCCCATTCTCCCTCTTTCCATCACCCCGCCCCATTCTCCCTCTTTCCATCACCCTCCCCATTCTCCCTCTTTCCATCACCCCGCCCCATTCTCCCGCATTCCATCACCCGCCCCATTCTCCCTCTTTCCATCACCCCGCCCCATTCTCCCTCTTTCCATCACCCCGCCCCATTCTCCCGCTTTCCATCACCCGCCCCATTCTCCCGTTTTCCTTCACCCCGCCCAATTCTCCCTCTTTCCATCACCCCGCCCCATTCTCCCTCTTTCCATCACCCCGCCCCATTCTCCCTCTTTCCATCACCCCGCCCCATTCTCCCACTTTCCATCACCCCGCCCCATTCTCCCTCTTTCCATCACCCCGCCAGATTCTCCCTCTTTCCATAACCCTGCCCCATTCTCCCACTTTCCATCACCCGCCCCATTCTCCCTCTTTCCATCACCCCGCCTCATTCTCCATCTTTCCATAACCCCGCCCCATTCTCCCTCTTTCCATAACCCCGCCCCATTCTCCTGCTTTCCATCACCCCGCCCCATTCTCCCCCTTTCGATCACCCCGCCCCATTCTCCCGCTTTCCATCACCCCGCCCCATTGTCCCTCTTTCCATCACCCCGCCCCATTCTCCCGCTTTCCATCACCCGCCCCATTCTCCCGCTTTCCATCACCCCGCCCCATTCTCCCGCTTTCCATCACCCCGCCCCATTCTCCCTCTTTCCATCACC